TTAATCAAGGATGGGCAACTTCAATATCTCTCCCTTTCTGTGGGCCATTGTTTTTAAACTGGACTTAAATTGGACTTGAACTGAACAGTTCTTGAAATAGCACTTGAAAATAGAATGCTACCTCTAAGAAACAAAGGACTGTCCTTTAGAGAGTATGCTACATGCCCTGGTCAAGATAAATTTCAAGGCTGGAGTGATGGCATGGGGAAACTTTCAATGCTGCCGCTCACTGTAAGTACCTATGACAGATCCTAGTTCATATAATTATTTGTAGTTTCAAGGACTGCAAACAGTGGTATGGATACATTTCTCACCTTCGACCATAACCTTCTTCTTATGCATAGCAGTTAACAGAGGCTTCAGAAAAAATACTGCAATGTCAAGTTCTTTCAATAAGGTAACATAAATCTTCAGCTCCATAGACAAGATATAGCTCTATGCTTCCCATTAATTGAGATGGGAAATTAGCAGAGAATAGGCCGAAGTGTATTTACATGAGCTCCTGTGTTTTTAATATCCTCAACTACTATATGGCACATCTGCTTGGCTAAGTGAATTTAGTGCTCATGCAAAATACCATATGGCCTCACTAGAGACTTGGTACAAGCACCGTGCAAGCACAGCACAGGTTTGCACAGTTCTTGCCTTTTGTCTGTCATTAACTGTTGGAAGGGAAGTCCATTAGGAAGGAACGCATTTCCAGAAGATGTTGCAGAACTGTGTCAGAGTCCCACTGCTAAAAGTGTCTGGCTCCTGTCTTCTCTTTCGGTATTTTAACATAGTGATGCAGGTTTACTGGACAGTCAGCTCTTTCTGAAAGGTGTTTGAAATGTTTTCCTTCTGGATTGTACAGTCCTTAGTTCATTCTAAGTGCACCAAACAACTTGGAATATAAAGAAATACCTGACCTGGGAGATCGTGGAGAACATACTGCTCTTTTTTTATTTCTTCTATTTTTTTAATGGAAAATATGGCAATTGACACCTCAGATCAAATCTAGCAAGATTTTGGGAAGTTGTCCCAACAGCAAAAGAGTTTTGTAGTTGCTTAGTTCATGCAGGCAAGCTATAGTGGATTTGTACATGTTCATTTCCCTGGGAATTTTATCCTCACACTGTGGACAAAATATCCTTGTGCCTGACAGAGAACCAGGCACGAAGCGGCCCTCCTCCTTCCACCTCTTCTCCCCTCCTTGCCCCCTCAGTTCCCCTTTAGTATCTCAGGGGACGTTATGGGAAAACCAAGCACAGAGAAGTGCAAGATGACCACAGCCAAAAGCCATTTCAGCCACTAGAGTGATCTGTTACCCCACCAGTGTTTCTGCCAATGCTGGCGCACTGGGCAGGCAACCTGAGGTGGGAGACAAGAAGGAAAAGCTGCCTTACACTGGGCTCATAAGTCCTTCACAAGGCGGGCAGGCCACCCAAGCCCCTTCCCAGCCAGTCATCTGCAGTACATCAACACTGACCAGCAGGGAAGGGGCATGGTTGGCTTCCCTCTTGCGCAGTTCTGGCATGGAGAAGGGGCACGGGTGGCCTATTCAGTGCAGTGAGGAAAGGGCAGGGGCGCGTTCAGCTGGGTCTCCTGGGAAGGCCACTCTGTCCTGCAGTCCTCTGCACCCCTGTCCTGAGATAGCATGAGACCTGTGGGCCCCTCACCATCCAGACTGGGTGGGTGGGCGAGCAGGTGAGCAAGTGCTAGCCGCATGCTCCTTCTCAAGCCTCCACTGGGGTATGGCAGAGTGGCCCAGGGGAGGCACCAGTGCTGGCTGTTTCCTGCCCCTCTTTCTTGGACAGGAGGTGGTGCGCAGGCAGGCAACAGGAAGGTACACATCCCACAATGCCCCTTTGGCAGGACCCCTCAGAGGAGGAGGAGTGGGGTTGTGGTGCAAAGATACCCTGCTTGCCTTCCTCAAGGAATGCAGGCAGGGAATGGGAAGTACAAAGCCAGTGCCAGAGAGTTCATGTCCCACACCTAACAGACCCAGTTCTCAGCAGAGTGCCAGCCCTACTGAGGAGCTGGAAGACAGGGGATGCCTCTTGCTTCATTCCCCCTGTCCTTGATGGGGAAGGGGAAAATGGGGCCAGACATGCCTCCACACAGTGCTTTTCCTTCTCTCAAGGAAGACAAGCACAAGGGCTATTCCTGCCTCCTGCTGCCAGTGGCAGGTGAGATCCACTCATGAAGAAGTAAGTCCAAGAGCTGGTTTTTCCACTCTGCATCGCCTCTCCGGGCCCCAAAGTATTTCTCAGTTTGCATATGTAAGCCCCATGCAGATTGTTGTCCTCCATACTGGGGATGCATCAATGATGAACAAGTACCCATCTCAGATAAGTGACCTGACAAAAGAAGTGTACACACTAGTGTACATGGGAACATCAGTATGTCCATGTTGCTGCACAACTACTGTACCACTACAAGTGTTGGCAGCTGCTTGGCTGAATGTCTCAGGGGTATCTAGTCCTTTTGCAAATCACCGAAGTAGCCGGACCAAGGCAGGAAGGCAAATCAAGGGAGGTAGCTTGGAGGACCTTGGATAGCTTGGACTTGAGGTCCTGCCAGCTGGAACTCTCTTCTTCTAGGATTTTAGGAGGATGTCATCTCACCATGTTGCTCAAACCAACTGGAGACTTACCTAGGCTGACAAGACATCAAGTGTGGTCAAATTTCCCCTCCTGGAGTTGCTGACAAAGAGTCCTTACCTGTTTTTGTAGACTGGGACTTCTGCAAGGCTGGGGCAATGGTAGTTCTGCTGGGGGCCCATTCCTCAGGCCAGAGGGGAAGGCAGAACTGTGACCTCTGGCTGGAAGAGCCCAGAATACGGCACTGACCGGCCTGCAAGGAAGCAGTCTTCATCTTCATCAGAATCCTCTTCTTCACACTGGAAAGGCTGAGGACCGGAGGCCATGAAGCTAGACGGTCACCCTGCCAAAGCTGGGATTTGCTCTTCTTCACTATCTCCTGGTCCACTCCCTCCTTCAGCCATGTGCTTCCATAATCAATTATTTCATTAGATCTTTGATTTTCAGTTTATTGCCTACTTTCCCTGCTTCCTTTATGCTCTTTGACCTCTCATTCGGCCTCCCATGAGAAGATAAGAGTACTGCTAGATCAGAGTAGCAGTCCATGTAGTCCAGCATTCTGTTACATACAATGGGAAAAAATGGACAACAGGCCTTCACCTTTCCCATCCCTCCTCCCTTTAAACAGTTTTAAAATCTCCAAGTTTGTCAGGAGACCTCCGTTGGCAGTACAGTAGCAGCAGTGGAGCCCTGGCTGTTGCCATCATCTTTTTCCTTCCCAGAGTATCTAGAAAGACACTGCTGCCTTTCCCAAAGTGATAGCCTGAGCTTTGTTGCTGCTGTTTTGCTTGCTAAAACCAATGACCTAAAAAATGGTTGAAAGGAAAGGAAAAAGGGGGGAGGGAAAAGGTCTATGTCTCCCTAGAAACATATAAACCCCACTCCCCTGCCTCCAAGATGATTTTCTCCTGATTTAGCTCATGCAGATCTAGACTTTTTTTCCAGCATTCCTACCACATTTTATATTTTCCTATCTATTGTGCTACCCTTAAGACTTATTTATTAACTGAGAACATTTTAGTAAAAGGCTCATCTTGTTGGTAAATATGAAGCATCACTCAGATCCATTGACAGGTTCACTTTTGGCTCATTTTGCCCATAGCCCATGGCTAATAAGCAAAAGGCCTTCATATTCCACAATGATCTAATAAGCAGCATTATTGCCAGATCAAAACCTGAACTTGGGTAAGTGCTTTATGATATAATAAATGTTGACAGCTCGGCAAAGCATTTTGCTGCATGCAGGCAGCAGAGCACAGAAGCAGGCTATATAAACTCTAGGCTGCGAGACCTTATATCAGTTTAATCAAGATTAATCCCACTTCATCACAGCATGCTTTATTAAAATATGTGTGGTGGTCTCATTCCAAAAAAGGAAAGGAAAGGAAACAAGAAGGAGAGGAGAGGAGAGGAGAGGAGAACATGTTGCACATAAATGAGCTCAGAGTATTAACTTACAAAGCAGGAAAAAGTCCAAGATATATCAGAAAAACAACATTTTCATTCTCTGAAGTATTCTAAGCATATTAGCAACAATATGTTACTATATGTTGTAAGTTGTATCATGGAAGTGAATGGGGTAGGACAATCTTGCTCCTGCACTATTGTTCATTTTCCTTTTTAGAAATAGAAGTTTGGCAATCAGTTTGTGGATATTCCATGTTGACTTTGCTTTATCCATGATGACAGAAGGTGACAGAAGTTCATCCAAAGTGCAATGTTTATCCTCCCATCCCAAAGAAAAAAAATTTACAATGCCCATCATTCCCTATTCAGCCTTCAACTAGTTGGGGAAACACTCAGCTTTTCTGTCTCTCGAAACATGCCAGGACTACATCACAAGTAACCTTAGTAAGGTAAACTTAGATATGTGACACTGTAGTGGATGAAGAAAATGCTTCAGCAAAGTCTGGCCCTAAAAGTGATAACCCAACTAGTTATTTTCCAAGTGTACCAACTAGCTGTTTCTACCAAACCTTCATAGAGAAAACTCCTTTAGCATGTACCCATTCAGACCACTCAATATCCCATGTATGACCCTTCAAAAGAAGACAGAATCAGTTGCAGGCAGAGTAGAGAACATATTCTTTCTTAATAAAGAAGCTCATATAAGTAGCCATCAAAAATCCATCTATCAACATTTTAAGACTGTTTTTAAAAGCAGGCATGTTCAAATTCACACAGCTGTTGAAGATGATTCCATAATGTTATTTGATCACTTTCTTTGATGAAGAATTTTTATTTTAAAAATAGCCACCTCTCTAGCACATACCCTCCATCCTATGCAAGTTCCCAGTCTCCCCCCAATTCCCCTTTGATGCTGTTCCTTGTTCAGCATCTCCCATTAGAGTCCCAGAATTGTTTGATGGGAGCTGTAAACATCCCTTCTCTTGATTTGCTCTTTATTTTTTCTTCCAGAGGACAAAGTATGGACTACTGTGCATCATGATTTGCAGGAACGATCTCCAGTGGTAAGCAACAGACCCGAGAAGCATGCTTGGCTCCAGCTCAATTACAGTGCCACCATGGATCAGATCTCAGCCATCACTAGCAGCGCTGAGTATTGTGAGCAGTTCATCTCCTACTTCTGTAAAATGTCAAGACTGCTGAACACACCAGGTAAGCTGAAAGTGTACTATCATCGCTGTACTTAGCAATGTTTCTGGCTTTGCAATGGGGGCCTGGTAGGCCAAAGGAAGAACGCATGTACTGTCTTTCTGAACAACTTTGCAGAAGGACTGAATCATACCCAAAAATACGTTGGGTTCAGGTTTACTTAGCTCTATGTACCACCCCACTCTGTATCCAAACACAACATATTTTAACTGCCCTTATCTTAGCTGGTTCATCCACGCTAACTTAATTTTTGTATCCTTCCATATTGCATTGTTGATGAGGGATTTATTTCATGTATCTTGCATCATGCTTTAATTTCTATAAGATCTTGCTTTTTAATGTAGTGGAAGGAAACAGAAGTCTTTTCCACACATGCCTTTTCCTCTCCAGATCTTCATACAGAATGTTCTAGTACGATTGCTACCGTGTGCATATGTGAGTATGTGCACTTTTCAACTAACAGATAAAGTTCACTGAAAAGTCTTAAAAACAGATGTTACCCTTGCCTTGCTAATCCTAAGGTGTTTTCAAAGACTTGTGATATTTACAAAATTAAAGCCATATTATACATAGGATGTTCTCATGGAATTAGATGTATTGCTGTTTTACTACTCTTTATTTTGCTTCCAAAAGAGGTAGAGGGTAGACATACCAAAGAAAATCATTTTAATACACACTGTGACAAAGGAACTGACTGTACTGTTTGCATAATACCAGTGGATAGTTTGCACACTTCTTATATCGGTGATTTATACAGAAGAAAAGCAGAAGATGATACCTTTTCTCCTTCTGTACACAATCTGTTCTCCAGCTCTGTTCAGTAAGTGCCCAGCCCTGATACTCATTTTGTTCCTTTCTTTCTGTTTGAGATTTTTGTCTTATAGCATATAATGATATTCTACTTATCTCAGAATACAATATTCTGTATGGTTTCTTCTCACTGGGGATTTTACAAATAAATCATAGTGGGCTTGCAGGAAAAAAGTGAGTAAAGAATACTACCGTATTTTGTTCATTTGTTTCGCTTTTTGTAGGGAGACATTATTTCTTATGCCAAAGCACAGTAAGAGCTCCTGCTCAAAAGCTAATATCAAACTAAGCCAAATCAACTGCTTGCCTCTTTTTAATGTACTTGGGCTTGTACATCCAAATGCTTAATAGTTATTATAGTTTTTCATGCATCAGTGTATGCAGGCACAGAACAGCTTTCAGAATTGCCAGTGTCAACCAGGTTGGCACCGAAAAATGTACCATTTCTGTAACCATTTCTGTGATTGCAGCAGCTTGAACTCCCAGGGCTGAATGGCCAAAAAGCTAGCAGACAGGAGGATTTTCTGCTGCCAGGAGGAGATCATTACTCCCCAGTGTCTCTAGAAGGGGTAAAAATGCCCATGGATGCAACAATAGAGATTGCTGGGTCCATCTGTGTGTCTGTTCCGCTGAGTTCAGTGGAGGTAGCTGGCAATATGGACCCACCAGAGGAGGCAAATTGGCAGGGTCAGGGAGGAGAAAGAGATAAAGGACAGTTCTGCTTGCTCAGTGTAAGGAAGATAATCTTCTGATTTTACAACTTAAAGTACTAAATGCCACATTCTTTATATACATTAATCAGTGAATATATTGCTTCTGTACCATGCAAAATAAATAGAGTGCTGGTTTGATCAGTGGGGGCAAGTGGCCTGAATCATGCCTCTACATCATTCCAGCTGATGGGGGAACAAGTGAGCAACAGAAGCAGGTGTTTGAGCAAGCGCACCACATGCGATTGCGAGATGTCCAGCAGGAACTGGGTTTGCGGGCTTTGCCAATGAGTTCTACCCATAGAGCCTGAGTGGGTTCCCACTGGGAAAGCATTGGATTCTTCAATATTGCAGCCTCTTTGGGTGGGGTATCATCTGTGGGTTTTGCCCTTCAGGGCTGTTGGTCCTGGTCTGTGTTGAGGATCAGGATCATTAACCTCCTGTTCCTCTCTTCTGAGAAGGTCTCATGGTTTGATCACAGATGTGACCTGATGCCCAGCTAGAGAATGTATACGATCCTTGTTCTGTGTGAGAGCTGTGCATGTGTGGTGGAGAGAGAGGAAGATGTGGGGTTTGAGTTCTGTGCCGTGCTGTCACTAAATTTCCTTCCTACTGCATGTTTCCTTTGTAAAATAGATTGCTTGGTGACAAGCTATATGCACCACTTTCTTTGACCTGTGCTAGATTCGCCCCCTGACTGCATTTTGACTGCCAGACTTTGCTAGATTTACCCCTCAGTATACAAGTGTCACAACTTTATTCAACCAAGCTCTACCTTTGGCCCTTCTGAGAATTGCTGCTTGACCCAATAGCTCTGCCTTGGAGTCCTAGCAAAGGACCAGAATTTGTCTTTTAGGCATTGTCAACCCTACTGACTATGAAGCAAAGGGGACCTAGTTTTGAAGCATGAATGAATAAGCAACATCATTCTCTATACCCTGGTACAGAAAGGAAGGTGTGGACTCATTAAAATGGGTGTTTTGGGATGGGCCAAGAAGACCTTACTCAGGTTTAGCAATACACAGTAATAGATCATGAGGAGAAGGAGGAACCACCAAGATTCCTGTGCAAGGTTCTGTCTAGGGTCAGATGAGAAATTAGTTATCTCCAATTTTTAATGTGACTACAGATTTGCAACTGCTGAGCCAATGAGCAAACCAGAACAGAATTGTGTGCCTAAATGCAAACTTTCCTGAAGTGAACACTATAGCACTTTATTTTTGGTTTTTTTAACAGAAATCCATATGCTATAGTAAAGTATGCACAAAATTATGCACAGTGCTGAAGAAAATGCACAGATAATGCCAAAATAGCTTGCAAGATGCATGCATTGGTAAAAAGTGTGTGCAGATATGCATACATTTGACAAAATGTGACCTTAAGAAAACATCAATAAGTGTAGATTCTGATTTAAATAATATAGTAAACAAAGCTGACTTAATTGATGTCTGGTGAGAGAAAAATTCTGATGACGTAGACTACACATTTTTCTCTCCCAGGCATAATACATATACCCAAACTGACTGCTTACTAAGCTAAAAGTCTAATAGGTTAAATTATCCCATCTCACATAAGTTCTCCAAGTCCTTCTGTCTGTGCTGCTGTCTTTGCTGCTATACATATTATATAGATATTTATAGTATCTGCAATATAGATCCTTCAAAATCTATATCATGGAAACTAACCCCAGATGTATTACTTAACACAAAAATGCATACAAATTTCCTTGCAGACTATTACCATTCATGGATAGATATAAAACTGAGCCAAACTGAACTAAGGTCAGAAAAATGAAAAACTGAGCAGCATTCAAATGTGAAGATGTAGTCATCTGTAATTCTGCCTTTCACACTGCAAGCCTATCCGTGTTTACCACTGAAATTAGTGCCATTGAATTTAATGAGAAATTCCCAGGTGAAAGAGTGAAGGCTTGCAGCCTAATAGTATTTAGTAGTAGGAGTCTCCTAATGAGACCAGCATTCGCCAGCCAGCATGGCTGGGAGTTGTACCACTTCCTTCTCCCCAGACATGCATAGGAATGTGCTCTAAGCTGCCTAAGCATTCTTTTCTTTGAATAAGTTGTTCCCCGTTTCATTTGTTTTTCACCTTCCTCCAATATTAGAAACAGAATGGCTTCTCCATGTATTATTTCGAGATAGCACCTGAGTATCATTTGCTGTATGCAGTGTGTTCAGACCATGAGGCTGGATGAGGTATGACCATTAGATCCGTTGAGAGACAGTCTGCCCCCACCTGCAGTCTCCAAAGTTCATCCTCCTTTGCTGAACTCTGTGGAAAGAATAAAAGAGGCCTTCAGGGGGCCTCTTGGAGAGATGGGTCCTGGGAAATCTTCCTGCCTTCTCAAGGACTCCAGCTCTGATGATCAAAGTATTTGATTAAGCTTGACCAAAATATTCATGTGTGCTCACATTTCTTTTATACACTTGGTAAATCATGTATAGGCAGTGTTATGATACCACCTACTGGAAGAAAAGAGACAAAAGAGTCTTAAATTGAGATGGACGGCTAAGCTGGATCTTTCTGCCAGTCTATTCTACATCTGTCTATTTCCAGCCATGTCAGTGTTGCTTATCTCTGTTCCATCCAATTTCCACATTAATCTGAAAGGGGGAATATTATATTTTCACAGAGAAATTGGTATTTCAATATGCATATAAATATATAGATTAAATGTATTTTCCCACAGATTTTGTAATTCTAAACATAGTTTTTCTCATAACTGTGGTCAGATGCAGAGTTCTGGACATATTTTGTTACTTTTCTTGGTGGAGGCGGGGGATTGAGTCAAGAACTGCATTGCATAATTTGAAGAGGTGCATTATCTGAAAGATAACTATGTCCTAACCTGCATGTGAGTTCTGGAAACGATGAAGATCATGTTGGTTCCCTTCAAACTGCAGACAGCATCCTTATTTGTGAGCCCTGCATCCCATTCAGTGGCACAGGGATGGTTGGACCATGAGGTCAAAGTTCAAGGCCCTACAGCCCAGGGGGCAGGGTGCAAATAAATAGCAGCTACAGAAGCAAATGCTACTTAATTCCTGTAGCCATGATGGTCCTATGATTTAAGTTAGCTTAAAATGCAAAACTGTGTGCTCAGAAGGGTTCTTCTGAGGTTTGGAAAAATATTCCTGTTACTTCTAACTTAATCAGGAACATAGAACTTTTATAGTATAGAATGGAAGATGGAGGATATGGGGAGCAATACTTCACAACTAAGTAATTCAGATAGCCACCTAAGGGACCCCTCCATAAGACCGTTAAGTCCAGGGACTTCAATAACCTAGCCACACCACTGGCCCTAGTTGCTTAAGATTGGGATTTGCTACCCTGTGAATTATAATTTAAGAAGTAATGTTTTATATTTCACAGAAGAAGCAATGAAACAATGAGAAGAATTTTTGGGTTCCAGCATGGGAACTATAGGATGTAAAGAGAGAGGCAGCGTTCTGCATTTTTTGA